CATATCGATTTTGATTACTGTTCATTGTTGTGTTTTTGTGTTTTTACAGGAGATGGATACCTTTATGCTGTTGGTGTGTACATATGGTTATAGTACAACTGTAATAAATGTTGCCCGCGCAATGTGTTATTCTCGTTTGGTGGAGTGTTTGTATGAGAAATGAGATGAGTTGTCTGCTGGTTCTATTTCATTGTTCTGTAAACTACCTGGGATTAGTAAGTGTGATTTGGACAATGAGGAAGAATTTCAGAACATGTTACTGCTTGCTAAATCAATGGGGGTACAACATGTAGAAGTTGTGGTTGAGTTGAAAAGTGATATTGGTCAGTCAAGTAGTTTGGGATTGCTGCGTGTGGGGGTTGAGGAAGAAATTGATGCACTACGGAGATTTTGCCACCGTAAGGAGAAGGTGTTGTTGTCAGCCCCTTGGGCAAATGGTATTACGCATGTGGGATAACGGTTTATTGGAGGTGCACAAGAATTTCGTAACGTTTTGTGTAAGTATGCCATCCAATGTGGGTTTAAGTTTACATACGTAAAGAACGAGACAACAAGAGTTACTGCTGTGTGTGCGATGCGGGAGGAGAGGGGCTGCTTGTGGGCTATACATTGTAGAGCACAACGAGCAAGTGATTTTTTCTACATTAAGAGGTTTAGTGATGTACATACTTGTGGTACGGATGTCCGAACATCGAAGAATCCGCGAGTTAGTTCGGATTTGGTGTCGAGTACCATATCTGAAATTGTGAGGGACAAGCCGTTGACTCGGCCGTGTGAGGTGGTGACTATTTTGAAGAGGGATTATGGGCTAGATGTGAGTTACCATGTCGTATGGTTGGGTGTGGAGAAAGCAAAGGCTGGTATTCATGGAGATCACTCGTTATCGTTTGACCAGCTGCGGTGGTATTCGGATGCCGTGATGCGGTACAATCCGGGGGTTATGTCAATATTGTCTATGATGTGAGTAGTCAACAGTTTTGTCGCTTCTTTGTGTCATTCGCTGTGTGTATTTCTGGGTTCAATGCTTGTCGGCCTTTATTATTCCTGGATGAAACATTCCTCAAAGGAAAGTACAAAGGTCAGCTACTTGCGGCAATGGCGAAAGACGGAAACAATGGTTAGTAGTTTTTTTTAGCTGTCTATTCATGCCAATATTCACTCTGAGCAGCATAGTCTGGACAAAAGAGTGATTGGTAAATTATAAGTAATGTGAAAATTAACATTAGTATGCACTGATATGAATGTTCACATCTGTGTATGCTAATGACAGTAATGTGAACATTCACATTATTACACACTGATGTGAATGTTCACATTAGTGTATACTAATGTTAGTTGATCCATTAATGAACAGTACTATGAATGTTAACATTGTCAGTGACTCAACAATCAACAATGAATTATTAATGGTCGTTAATGTGAATGTTCACATCGTTGATGTTTACGAACCTGAATCCAAAAATAACAATAGTAAATAGGGCAATGTAGATATGAACATTCGCATGACCTGTTTCGTTTATACTGTTTTCTATTCACTTTGGAATATTATAAATAGTTGTGTATTGGTGTTGTGTTGTAGGTCTGTTTCCTGTTGCATTTGCGATTGTTGATTCAGAGACCACAGCCAATTGGTCGTGGTTCTTGCATGAACTTGGGAAGGTTGTTGATGGGAAGCGCCATATTACTTTTATTTCGTATCGTAATCTTGGTCTGTTAGAAGCTCTGCTAAAGGTGTTCCCATCGGCTCATCACGGTTATTGCTTACAACACTTGAAGAGCAATTTAAGAGATCGGGTGAAAGGAATTGATAATGGATTCAGGGATCACCTAGTAAGTAGTTTGGGTGACTGTGCCTACGAGCCAACTGTGGTAGGGTTCCATGAAAAGTTTGCAAAATTAAAAGAGGAGGGTAAACAACGAGCTCATAATTTTTTCAAGGACTTGGCACCTGAGCACTGGGCAAATTCATACTTCAGGTAATAATAGTTTCCTAAGGTGTTCCATTTGTGAAGTTTAGAATGGTAGCGATGTGAATTTTCAGTTTAGAATGATGACAATCTTCGAATTGTGTTTCATGTTCAATGTAAATGATGTGAATGTTCACATCTGCTAATGATGGCTGATGTGAATGTTCACATCTGTTAATTTGTCAAATAGTCATGCAATGTATTACAGATTTGAATGTTGACACGTGTCATATTTTGTTGTTGTTGTTAACATTCACATCTGTCTATCATTTAAGTTGACAACATAATAAACATATAATGTGAACATTCACATTATTATAAACTGGTAGCAGATGTGAACATTCATATTATTATACCCTGATGTGAATGTTCACATCAATGTATACTAATGTCAGTACTGTGAATGTTCACATCTGTCAACGTGAATGATCAGACCTGTTAAATTCCGTATTGTACAATGTTTGTGATATTGTGTGCAGGGGCATGCGTTATGGGGAGATGACATCCAATGCGGCGGAGTCATTTAATAACTGGATTAAAGAAGCACGTAATCTTCCTATCACTCAAATGGTGGACAAAATTCGTACTCAGTTGATGCGGCAAATGTCTGCACGGCGTGACCAAGCAAACAAATGGAATGAGATTATTTGTCCGACATTCGAAACAAGGCTTATGGATTCGTTCAATGACAGCAAGTCTTGGCAAGTTAGCAAAGCCAACGAGGATGTGTTTGAAGTTCATTCGATACCATCGGTTACAGTTGATGTTGCGAGGCGTACATGTTCATGCTTCAAATGGCAAATCAACGGATTCCCATGTGACCATGCTGTTATTGCCATTCAAAAGAGCCGCTACAATCTCAATGATTGTGTAGAACATTACTTTCATGTAGAGACATATCGTGCAGCCTATTCGGGAGCCATATTCCCTATACCATCGGTGGAGAAGCCGCCTTTTGATCCCACGGACTTTACTATATACCCGCAAACATGGATGATGTGAACATTCACATTACTATTGATTACTGGGTAAATTTAGAGTAGCATTCTGTGATGTGAACATTCACATCAGTGCATACTAATGTCACTGATGTGAATGTTCACATGTGTGTATCATTTGAAAAGACCACCCGGAAGGCCGAAGAAGAATAGGATCCCATCAAGGGGTGAGAAACTGAAGCAAATAAGGTGCGGGAGATGTGATAAGTTGGGGAGCCATAATCGAAAATCATGCACGGAGCCGATATAAGATGTACCTTTTTTCATTTCAACATTGTATTTTACATTGGATTCTTATATTCATTTTTGAAATAAGATTGTGTTGTGTTGGGAAACATTGGGTTGCAATAAGATTGCGTTGCGTTGGCAAACATAATAATGCATTAGTATTTGATTTGTGTTTTATTTTCACTTTTTTAAGGTACCAATCTGACATTTATGTTGGTTGTGTTTTGGATGAATGCATGCTGTTAGCATTCACATTATGTGAATGTTCACATTGTTCAACTTTGAAACATTTCTGTGGTGGGAATGTTCACATTGTTGTTACTGTTAACAGCAATGTTTACATCAATGTAACCATTCGCATCATCAACTCATAAGATGTGAATATTCATGACATCATTGTTGCCATTCGCATAATCAGAAGTTATGAAGTGAATATTCACATCATCAAATTATTAGATGTGAATATTGACTTGTGTTAAGAAATATCATACTCACACTTGTCATATTATGTTACATGAACACTTTAAACAATATTCACATCCATGTAGTATGGTTTAAAACAGAAGAAAGTGTACGATCATTCTGTGATGTGAACATTCACATCATGTCATGTGTATCCAAAAAAAAAAAAAAAAGAAAATACAATCTCAATGTGCATGACCAACGCAAAATAGGCCTGAAAATGCATATACATATATTGACTGGAAAATATCTGTACAAGCAGTGATATAGACTTGATTTACAATTAAGCTAGTCTGCTTCAATATGAAAAATCTATTAACACTAAATTGTCTTAAATGTGGATAACAGATTTGGGTAACAGTGATAGGTGGACCCCCCACCTATAGGTTTTCACATTGCACTGTCTTTCTGTGGTTCAGAAAAAGGTGTACTAATGAGTCTCTTATTTGACACCATTCAAAGCAATCTAGGCTGGCAACAATATCTTCACGATATACATGCACCCTCATGATGTAACAAACTGCAAGCCTGCAATCCACCCTGAAAATGCAAACTTCTTGTTAGATTTTGAAATTTAAGTGGGTAATGGTTGTTGAACATGTGTAGAAATCAATTTTAGGCTTACGAATTTGATGCTTGCTGAGGACAGATGTCCACTGATATGATTGTTTTCGAAGTATTTTGGCTTGATAAGTTGGTCCATAATGGTGATGATGGTCTAATGTTGTGCACTAAAGCTGTGATATAGTCCCTCTGCCAACAATGAAATTTCATATTAGGCACCAACCAACATAGGGCATACGTCCAAGTTCAAATATTACACATCACGACAAGTATTATTTTTGTCAGCCACTTACCAGTATTTGTGCTTTGTCAATATGTGGGTCATGTATGCTTTCTCTTGGGCGCAGTGAGTTATAATGCCTCCATACATTCTCTTTCACGTCGTACACAACAATTGTCCAGTGGAAGTTGTCGTGTATTGGGAAGATTAAGAATCTCTAGCCTTGATACTCCTTGATGTGTACATCAATCAGTTTATTCGTCTTGTGGGGGGGTACTCTTGCGTGATTTTCTGCACACAAAGGGTATATAATGATGTACCAAGTATTTATATCAATGTTTGATGTTACTGATGTGAATGTTCACATCTGCTAATGGGGAGTCATGTTACTGATGTGAATGTTCACATTTCGTAATAGTGAGTGATACTACTGATGTGAATGTTCACATTTCGTATTGGTGAGTGATACTACTGATGTGAATGTTCACATTTCCTAATGTTGAGTGATACTACTGATGTAAATGTTCACATCTGTTAATGTCAGTGATATTACTGATGTGAATGTTCCCATTTGCTAATGGTGAGTGATGTTACTGATGTGAATGTTCACATCTGTTAATGTGAGTGATACTACTGATGTGAATGTTCACATGTGTGTATCATTTAAGTTTAACAACATAATAAGCATATAATCTTCAATGCGAATGATGTTAATGTTCACATTTGTCAATGTGAATCTTCTCAAAGGTCATTTTATGTTGTTGTTAACATTCACATCTGCCTATTATTTAAGTTAACAATATAAGCATATAATGCTGAGAAGAACATTCACATGTATTGAAACATAATCAAAATTAAAGTCTAGTGGTTACCAAACATGTGTTTGTAAAGATGAATGATGAATCTTCCAAACTTGGGTTGACTAGCCCTTGTAGTTCAAGTAGAATTTTACCATAAGCATCTATCACCTGCAGAACCAGAGGGGTGGCAGTACATTATTTGCAGTGTCTTTACTCTCTGTGTGTGTGTATGTGTGTGTGTGTGTGTGTGTGTGTGTGTGTGTGTGTTTTGTACACATTTACAGTTGTCATACGTTGTTGGTTATTGATTCTTCCTTGATGATGTGCATGATGTCATCAAAATACACATCTTTAGTCTTTGAGTCCCCTCGCCACACTAGCAACCTGTGCATTGTGATTACAGAAAACGTTAATGTCAACATTGCACATTTATGAAATGATCTAATCTATTAAGTATGTATGTGAACTTAACATGATCAAAAAACAAATTCAGTTGGGGATATGTAAGATCACTTACTCAGCACCGCCGTTCTTGTGCAAATTTTGGACTTTTTGCTTGTTGAGTTTGTTCATGTTAGCCCAGACCTTTAGTTTGTTGTTCAAGGATAACTTCTTGGACTTTGTTGGCTGCTTTTTTGGTGGTTGCTTGTCTAAATCTTGTGCAATTTGGACTGCATGTGATTTCTGTTGGGCTCCCTCTTTCCCTTTCTTCTGACCAGGCAGGTTGGGGTATTCAAACTCGTCCAACCTGTGTTCTTTCCTTACCTTCTTCTTTATGAGCTATACCCTTGATGGGGGGCTGATAATGTGTTCCAATACTGCAGTGGGATGCTTGTTAAGGCTGTCATGTGCCTTTTGTGCTTCAACTTGAGTGATGATGTGGACGGACTGATCGTCAAAAAGGTCTTGAAGTATTGTTTTTTCACATTCCAAGTTGATGACCAACTTTGTCAGCTGCTGAATTTCTGTATCTTTCCACTCCATGCAAGTCTTCATGTCCATGTCCACATTGGATAGGCCCGATTGGTCAAATAGTTTGGCTTCAAGGGCAGCAATCACCCTTGCCCTCAACTCCCATGATTCTTCCAACTGTTTGTATTTCGCTTCCCATTACCGTACAAGAGCCCAAAGCTTTTTGGTTTTCTTTTGTGAGTGCTTCCACAATGTCGGGCTCAGTTGGTTGTGCTATGATGATTCCTTTCTCAACATTGGGGGTGCTACAGCTGGGGTTGATATAATGTCCAACATCATTCAGGTCCACTGCATCGACAGAAAATGCATCCCTGTCATCACTGCGTTGACTGTCTTTGCTTTGATCCTCATTGCTTTCATCTTTCATTGCTACTGCACTTGACAAAATCTCAGGTTTGGGCTGCACATTCAATTTTGTATGACGGTACATCTTCGCTTCAGTTGGTGATGCCATTAGCTCGCCGCCATATACCTGCATTTGGAGACAGTATGTTAGTTAGATAGTTCATTGTCTCACTATGTGAATAGGCACAATATATTTGGTTGTACTTCTACCTCATTTAAACCCAACTTAACCAAAGATATGGACTTCATGTTGTTATGTAAGGCTGTGAGGTCCTACTTTACGCATCGCGGAATGGCATTGGAGTTGCGGGGTTGTAAGATTGTTGTATGCTCACACAGCCAGTACTGAAACAAATAAAAAATATCAGTAATTTGAATGTTCACATCAATTAATATTGATGTGAATGTTTACACCACTGGGCAGTAATGTGAATGTTTACATTACACCACTGGGGCAGTAATGTGAATGTTTACATCAATTAAAATTGATGTGAATGTTCACATCTGCTAATGGGGAGTCATGTTACTGATGTGAATGTTCACATTTGCTAATGTTGAGTGATACTACTGATGTGAATGTTCACATCTGTTAATGTGAGTGATATTACTGATGTGAATGTTCACAACTATTAATGTCAGTGCTATTACTGATGTGAATGTTCACATTTGCTAATGGTGAGTGATGTTACTGATGTGAATGTTCACATCTGTTAATGTGAGTGATACTACTGATGTGAATATTCACATCTGTTAATGTCAGTGCTATTACTGATGTGAATGCTCACATTTTGCTAATGGTGAATGATGTTACTGATGTGAATATTCACATCTGTTAAAGTGAGTGGTACTACTGATGTGAATGTTCACATCTGTTAATGTGAATGTTTACACCAGCATCTACTAATGTGCGTTTGTACATTACTGAAACAGTAATGTGAATGTTTACATCAATGTTGTCAACTTCCACACCAATGCTGAGAAATGTGAACATTTACATCAGAGTGTCCAAAGCCCGTAAATGTTCATATTAAACATAGAATAAGTTTTATGAGATTTACCATTAACAACATCACACATTCGGTGACTCGTCCTGGTTTTCCACAGTTTTGGCCCAATGAACCCATCAAGGTTGCCCGGATGCTCTCAGCCCAATCATACTCGATCATCTTGTCTAATGGGTCCATGTATGAGTAGAAAGCTCATCCAATTGTTTCTCCGGATGTAGAAAAGAATAGCTTGACACATGCATACATGCAAACTAATCTTGCGACCTCCTCATTATCATGTTTTTTTGTGCCCTTCAATGCTTTGCTCAGAATTTCTCGTATTTTGGCAGCACTTAACCGACTAACATCCTTGCACATTCGGTGTATGATGCTGGTTGTTGGTTTTGCACCATAAGAGCGGCCCATCGACTTGGTGCCGCAGTCCACCCCAAAAATCAGTGATACGTTGCTTCTAAAAATCTGGATGTTCTTATCCCCAATGTAAAACCTCCCACTAGATTGCTTGAATGTCTGTACTATACGTACAATGGCATCATTATATTTGATGCAGTGGTTGAGGTCGATTTCGTTACTGATCAAGCAATCAAATAATGGCCAGAACGGTATTTTTCTAAGGCACTTCAATTGGTCACTTCTAAATTTTGTATCCTTTAACAGTTTGACCAATCCAGTTATATTTGACCGGTAGTTAACTTTTTTCATGTTCACTTCTTCAGGAACAGCTGTTTGATCAGGCTTGGTTTTGGCACGAGATTCCCCTCGCTTTCGCTTGCCATCAACTTTATGGGGAAGACCTGTGTGTTCAAATAAGCACATATAATTGGCTGAAACATAGAGGATGGAACTAGAAGCACCAAACAACATTCAACAACCAGCATTGACAGTAATTTGAACATTCACATCATTGTACACTGATGTGAATGTTCACATCAGTATATACTACTGTAAGTTTACCGAGTAATCAACATTAATGTGAATTTTCACATCATCCATGTTTGTAAAATAAATTCCGAAAACGACAACAGTTATAGGGCAATGTAAATGTTTACATGGGTGATCACATTATATTATAATTTGCTAAAAATCAAAGGGGGGAACCAACAGCGTCAAACAACATCCAATAACACAAACAACTTGGATATTGATGTCACAATGTGAATATTTACATCATATTCCATCACAGTGTTGAGTGAAGTTTGGGGGTTCTGACATTAATGTGAACATTCACATGATGTGAATGTTCACATCAGTGTCTACTACTGTAAGTTTACCCAGTAATCAACACTAATGTGAATGTTCACATCATCCATGTTTGTAAAATAAATTCCGAAAACGACAACAGTTATTGGGCAATGTGAATGTTTACATGGGTGATCACATTATGTTATAATTTGCTAAAAATCAAAGGGGGGAACCAACAGCACCAAACTACACCCAATAACACAAACAAGTTGGACATTGATGTCGCAATGTGAATATTTACATCATATTGCATCACAGTGTTGAGTGAAGTTTGGGGGTTCTGACATTAATGTGAACATTCACATCATGATATTACCTATATACCTGGTTGTCAAAATTCCCTACCTGATTTTCTTACCCGGGAATTTTTACAGGGGGGTAAGGGATGACTACACCATTTACTGCCTACCATAAATCTCGGATCACCTATTTCACAACCCTCATTAAACAACTTATCCATCGCATTCACCGCCTTAAATCAGCTAGACCCACTACCAAAAGAGCCCAATACATCAATTACCACCAAATTCTAGCTCGCCGCAATTTACTTGCTCACAACTACAATTGTTTACATCGTCATCAAGATTATCTTGATCTCCTTTCTGGTTGCTAATTACTGTTTATTATTTCACAGATGTCTCGTCCAAGGCCTCCTTCCAAGGCTTTGGCCTCCTCTTCCACTAAACCAAATCAACTCATTGTCCCTCCTCCTTTGGAGTCAGTTTCCCCCTCTTATTCACTCGACCTCATTAATCGTTACCAAACCCTTGGTACTATTCATCGTCCTGATTATTCATCTGCATTGGCCTCTGATCCTTTTGTATCTAGCCAATCCGTTTCAGTTACTCCATTCCCAGTTAACCCTATTAAAACATCTAGATCTGAATATACCAATTCACATGTTACCAACCTGTTCTATAAAGAACCCAGTCACCCCAGAAATCAAACCATCAATGACATTGCTAAATTCCATTTTGGCTCTGGATGCTATTTCACCCTTTCCCATCCAGAGAAAACCCTAGCCTACTACAAAGATATTCTAATCAACCACCATTCCATTCTAATCAAGCCAATCCAAGATCGCACGTATGCTTATAAGGTCCTATACCATTCCATTTATATTCACAACATTGTTTCTATGGCTGAATGGGGAAACCCTAACCAGCTTCGTGATTTACCTGGTCATTCTATTCAATATAATTATCATGATTATGTTGATGCCTGGTTCAAGATTTTCTTGTACCAAAATGACACTTTTAGTCATTCTTGGTTCATCTCCTTTGATCAAAAATTCAAATCTGAGTTGCCAACTTGGTTTCTGAGATGGTGGACTCATTATGGCGCCATTTCCGCCATCCTCCCTGATGATCTCAGAAACATAATTCATTATTTCAATTCTGTTTTCCCATTTTCTACTCACCAGAAGCAATTTCCATTATTACTCATATTTATTGCCAAATACAAAATTCCATGGATATTCAAATGGCACTATGGGATTGATGATAATATCATCATTCGCCAACACACAGTTAAATGGTGGGTAAAATTCAATGTTCCCAGAATTTTGGAAATTGTTCATGAAGAATTCCCACCTAATCAGTTTGCTCCAACTCCTGCTCTTGCTAAAGCCTAGCAGAACCCAACTGCTGCAGTCACTCAAGGAAGCCAACCCAGTCTTCCCCCAGTCAACCTTGGAAGCCCTTCATCTAGTGGCTCCAAGCCCAAATCAAAGCCCAAATCAAAGTCCAAAGTCAAGGCAAAGCCCATTCCACCTCCTGTTCAGCCCAAAGGCAAGTCCAAAGGTAAAGCCCAATCATCCAAAGAAGACATGATCCAGTTAGCCCATCAACTGTTGAATCAAGCTAAAGCCCAATCCACTGATTCAGACAATTCAGACGATTCAGCTCAGGTCCATTCCTCTGAAGAATCAACTAATCAGTATTCAGGACCAGAGTTTCAAGATGCTCAAGATCCATTTGTCTGATCAACATTGGATTCCATATAGATACAAATTAGCTTCAATCAATACTCTTTTGAGAAAAGCTGCCAATTTGTATTTATATTGATTCCTTTATTTACATGTTCCACCAAAAGTGATGAATAGTAAAACTACTGTTCACTGTCACTATTCAACCAATCATCTTTTGCTAAAAGGCTGCTCAGCTGTGTAATCACTCCACCGAAAGCATCCGACAGCATCTACTTTTCGCATGCTCGGCCAGCTGCTTTCAGAAGTCACATGTTCACTGTTTTGCTTTTTATTTCTTTATATTGTAATCAATTGTAAGCATTTAGGCATTCTTCAATTTTCTTCTCCATCTTTGTTGTAAGAAAACCAGAGTGTTTTGAGAGCCTTACAAGCTTCCCCGTTGTACCCAATTAAAGATCCTTACAGTTGCTACAATTGTAAGTTATTTTCTGTATGTTTTAATTAAA